AAACATCAGAGGCTGAAGGTCGTCGTAGTGACCAATCAGGCCCTGGGGGAGGCTCGGGACACAGCCCGGTTTTTCCATCCTGCCTTGTCCCTCACAGCCCTTTGGCAGAACCAAGTCCCTGAGCTGTGGGACCCCCAGTCCTGGGCTCAGGGCCCCGGGTGTCTTCACCCTGGACCTGAGAAACAGCAGAGTGTTTGCATGGAATACACTGTACACATTTCGCCTGCTTCCAACAGCTTTACCATCAAGCTGGGAGGAAGTGAAGAAGTAGGGCTGTGGGGCCACAGTCCCAGCTCTGTCACTTGTCAGCTGTGCGACCCTGAGGACATGCACCACCTCTTTGAGCCACGGTTGGACGGTCACTGATTTTACCCTCCTAACCCCCCATGCTCCCCAGCCGCAGCCCAGCATGCCAGCGGGCACGGCGCAGGCCCTCCCAGGATGCAGCCCCCAGGGGCAGGGACCGCGCGCCCTGCGCCCGCCCCCAGGCCCCACCCTCAGGACTGCCGGAACCCAAGCCGGAGGACCAGGGCCAACCCTGGCCTCCAAGTTCCTGCCCCATGGGGTGGCTGTCCTTGAACCATTCTGCTATGAGACCTCCACAGATGGCAGATCTGTTTCTTGTGTTCACATCGTTTTTATCTTATTATATGTTAATAAAAGAACATGTATGCGACTCTGACTAATCCAATGGCCATTAAAATTAAAAAGAAAACATGTCTGGCCTACGTTGTTATTTTAGAATCACTCTGACTACAGCCAGAGTGTACAACTTGTCACATTCCTAGTCACTCAGAGTGAAACACAGCGCACTTTTAAGAAAACTGGGCAGAGAGGAAATCGCACGTGTGCCTTCCGGCCCCCTTTCAAAGGGCCGCGTCACAACGGACTGGAGCACCCCCGCGCTCTGTCCCTCTGGGACACCGTCATGGATTTCTCTCCTTTGTTGCTTGGTCCGTCAGTTGGTTTTTATCCTGCAAAAATGGTGATGGCTTTAAATTAGCTTCTGTCACTTGAACTTCCCCACGGACACACAGACTTTTGTAATGGCAGGTAGAGCCTATGACCAGGAAACGAGGCCAGGCCCACCCATCTGTACAAGGAAGAAACCTAGAAGCCCGACCTTGTCAAATCCCACGCACAACATACGAATGCAGCGACCATTCATTGCTAATCAGCATCCACGACTCCTCATGCAGTTAGCTGCGACAATGTCAAGTCTAACTTTGCATTTTAGTCCCCAGGAAAACAAAGAAACACGAGAAATAAGAGAGGACCCCGCCAGGAATCCCCTGTGCTTCCTCCTCTCCGACCCGTCTGACCCAGGCCCCAGAGAGCCAGCCCGCCACTGGGCGCACATCCCTCCTGACCACCGGCAGGGCCGCGCACGCAGCGGGGTTCCCTGAATACTTGCTGAATGGAGTAATGAAAGAGATCAGAATGCGGTTTTATTTTTATAGGTCTTAAAACAATCCCCAAGAGTCCTGTGACTTCCTGCTTACTGATGGCCACTCCAAACCTTTGCATCTGCTAAGGCTTGTTTGAAAGGTAGCCCAACGGTTACCGCTAAGCAAGAACAGTCATTCCACAGGAGAAAGACCACGACCAGCAACGCAGTCCCGGCGCGTGCACATCTCTCTTCATCATGATAGGCAGAGGGAGGAAGGGGGTGAAATCCAGACCCGTAAACAAAAAGAAAACTTACAACAAAAAGGAATCTAGAAACTGACCTCATCCAGCCCCCCAGGAAAAACTGGCGGACGTGGTGTTCTCCTTCATTGTAACTGCATTATTTTCTCCCACGGTTGCCTCCTTAGCTCCGTCTGTCAGGAGAGAAAAGTGCTGGCGCTCCCTGCTGGAACAGCCACACCGCCTTCCCCCGCACGCTTGCCAGGTGTAAACATGGCCTTGAAGCCCATCAGAAAAATGCGACGCAGGTGTGTGGCCTCCTGCACCGACTTCCTCCTCGAGTGGAAAACTGAGATTGTTTTATACTTACATTGCCACCCAGGCTAAACAAACTGTATCTTGATAATCTTAAAGTGAAGGGGAAAAGATACATTCTGCATTCCCCAGAACAAAACACCCAATCCAAACAGATTTTTATCTCGCCTCAGCTTAGAAGCCGGTGAGAAAAGTGCGAGTCTCGGCGTCTCAGATTCACTCAGGTCAACAAATAGTGGGCACGGGGTGACCCACGCTATTTAGGATCAGCGAATGACCACTCCTTCCTTGAGCTGAAATCAATAAAAACCCTGCGTTAAATATGAAGGCACTATCCCTGTCCTTCATCTTATCTTTCACCTCTGACTGCAAACATTTCTTTCAGGTCAAGAAATCAAAAGCGACGTCTGCACGCAGAATGCTGCCATGTTGTAATAGCCACCGTCCTGTTAAAAGCTGTTAAAAATAGCACCTCTCTCTTTCTCTCCTTTCTCTTCTTTTCCATCCCCCTCCAAATAAAAAAGGTGAAGCGACGACACCCAGTCTGGCCACAATGGGCAGCGCGTGCGCATGCAGCCCCCCTTCCCGCTCCCCCGGCAGCCCCTGGAAAGGCACACGCCTGCTGAAAAGCAAGAGGAGAAAAGACGGGGCGGGGGGCGGGGGGGGGGGGGGGGGCTCGTGCCACAGAGCGCTCACCCACCCCCACAGCCTCAGCAGAACCCGAAGGGTCAGACTCGGAGTGAAAGGGGCATTTTTTTTTTCCTGGAAGGTAAGTAAAAGGACTTGGGGATTGATTTATTTTAAAAATAAGGTCCCAGATACAGTCAAAAATGGATAGTTTTCAGAAACCAGTTTTTGATAACCAGATTTTGTCTGTGGAAATGAGTCCATTTGAAAGGCAGGAAGCAAGGAATGTGTGGCCTATCATTTTCTCTGATAAGCAAAAATTAAACACTAAACACCACCACAAGGTACCCCCCCCACCCAGTTTCAGTAAAACCTGGACTTCATGGTTAAGGATTTTCTCAAATCTTTTCATAGGACATACCTGGCACACTCATAAAAACTGACTTATTTCCTTTAACATTTTTTTCTCACCCCAAATGATTAGCCAGTGCTTTTTAATAGGACCATTTCACTGCACTGGTGAAATGTTTAAAAGCATAAAGCAGCAAAATAATGATTTTTTTATAACAATGCAACAGGGTGTGGGATGGGGGGTGGCAGGTAAAACAAGAAGGCCGAGTCAAGCTTGGAGCCTGCTGGCTGATGCAAAACTGTTAGCAAGTTAGTAAAGAAATTAGCCTGCATGTAAGATGGCCTGGAGCCCCCCGAACATGCGCCCCCCCCCCCAACCCTTGGACTCTCCACCTAGAAATTAACCTCACTCTTCAATTTCTTTTCCCACCAAATGCTTTGGTGGGTTTGGCACTTCAGAGACAGTTTTGTAACGCAATTTGTAAATTTAAGTCACCCAGTAAGTGAAGAAAATACTGTAAGAAAATGATCATAACTACTTGACTTTTTAGGAACTACTTATCAAAAATTAGCTTTCAACAGCATAGGTAATGCTATCCTTTATTATTTCGTAATTACCCTCAACAAAGTGGCTTTCGTTTGGGCGACTGCAAGGAAACCCACAGTACTGTATTTTAAAAAACAAACTACAAAATAATCAGTTATTTAATTTGAAAAATAACATTTGAGAAATATTTGGCAACTCTCTTAACCTACATGGCCCTTTGTCTTTTAAAACACAGATGCAGATAATCCCCTAACCGGCTCCAGTTGTAGGCAGAGTCCCTTTATCACCAAGATAGAGGAAGTCACAGACCTCAACAAATGAAGGGCCAAGCAAGATCTGAACTCAGAATCGATCACAGACCCGTGCTCCGTCACCTGCCAGCCTCCCCGCAGCTGAGCAAACCTTGAAGCACTAGTGGAAACGTCTATCTCCTTCACTCAACCACAGTAAGCCCAAATATTGTACAAAGTAACACTACCAGTCCGTCCTTGTCCAGCGTTTCTGCATCGTGAAAGCATCCCCAGGCTTTCTCAGCACAGCAGTAAGTGCAATTCCTAGAAGGCACTGGCAAGTCTGGGCCAGACCAGTCTACAGTGGGAAAGCGACTGCATGTGTCCAACCCGATGACAGGAGGGTCAATGTGCCCAGCCATCTCCTTCAACTCTGCACTGTACGAGCGGTCGGGTGACAAGGCAAATCTGGCGGCTGTATACAGACGACCGAACACAGCTCCCGTCAGTCAGAGCACAAACACGCAGCTCGGGGGAAACATAATTTCTGAAACAATGTGAGGGGCTGCATAATTCATTCTCTCTCTCTCTCTCTCTCTCCCCCTCCCCCCCTCTCTCTCACAAACACACAAACACACACACACACACCCCCACCCACACCCACACCACCACACCCCCATTTTCAAACACTGCTCAGTCCCAGCGCGGTGCTGACACTCCTCCCACCTGAACTTCTCTGCGGCGCAAGCCTGGCCTAAGCACTCGGCCCGGACCGGCCCGGACCGACCCGCGCGCAGGTGAGAGCGCCCGCACCGCGGGGAGGTGGGGCCGCGCCGGTCCCCTACCAGCCTCGGCCAGCCAAGCTGCAGGCGGGCTAGTCCCATGGCTTCGGGGTAATGTGCTTTTAAAACCTCACCGCGACCGAGGTCACCGCTTTAGAGAGCTAATAACAGCCAAATGAGCGGGCTGCTGGGCACTTAGTGAGCCATTCAGGATATGGCTGTTTAATGGTACCTGGAGTCCTGCTAGAGGGGGCGCCGAGGGCTCCTGCCGCCCGGGAAGAGAGTGTTCGGCGCGAGTGAGGACGCAGCCGGCGGCCCCAGCGCCCCCACCAGGCCAGCCTCACCTGTCAGCCCCGCCACCCGCCCCCGGAGTCCGAGCCCCGCGCAGCTCTAGGGCCGGAGCGGGAGAGGGGGCCCCGGGCATCCCGTCCCGGGGAAAGCAGGAGCACTGTCCTTAGGCAGGGGACCCTGGGCGCGTCGGGTCCGCCAGGCGACACGCCACCCCGAACCCACACCTACCAGATAATCCATGTACAGAAACGCCTCAGGTATCCGGAGATCAGTCATCCGGCACCTAAAGCATCCGGAACGGCTCCGAACCCGGAAAAAAAGCTGCGTCTTGGGCTGCGAGCGAGCAGCCCCTGCAAAGCCAGCCACCGCGAAAACAGCCGAGCGCCACCGAGGAGCCGACGGCGGCACCGGGGAGCGGCGATTGGCCGAGGGGGGCGGGCCGCGGGAGAGCGGAGCGCTGATTGGCTGCGGCGCCTATAAAAGGCAGGCCTCGGCGGCGGGCAGCCGAGAAACGCGGGAGTAGCCGGGTCCTGGTTTCCCGGGGAGGGCGGGGCACGGGGGCGGGAGCTGGGGCGGTGCAGGCGGAAGAGCGGGCGGGAGGGGCGGAAAATCGGCTGTGCTTCCATAGCTTCCTCTTTGGGTGAAGGGGCCAGAACTGGGCGCCAGGGCGGACAGCGGTAGTGCTCCCGCCCCTCACCCCAGCAGGAAGCCAGCCCGGAACACGAGAGCAGCGGTGGCCACCGACCCTTGGAGCCCCGCTCCCGAGCGACTCCTGCAGGCGCCCGGCCTCTGACGGCTCGCGGAGACGGGCCCAGCAAGCCCGCGACCCAGGGCGGCCCCTGCTCCCCACAGCAAGGAGCTGCCCGGGCGGACGTCCGGGGGTGCACGGAGGCTCCCTCTCATCAGGTTGCCCCGAAAAGCTGGCTCACCGACACGGGAATGGAGGAGAAGCTGACCTCTGACACTCGGGAAGGAGCTCGGCGATCTGCCCGAGTGGTCCAACTAATGACGCTAAACGCAGACCCCTCGCCTCTGAGGATGAGCAATAGAATGAGACGCTCTCTGAAAAGCATTATAAGTAAAATTTTAAGTCGGTGCCCTGAAGACTTGCGCACTTCCTGGTAAACAGCGCGGAAATTGGTTGGCATTGAGTTTACACTGTTGCTTTAAACTGGGAGAGGCTGGAGGGAGCTAGGTAAGAACACTCCAGGCTCAGTTTTTTGTTTTGTTTTTTCTTTGTTTTGGTTTTTTTGTTTGTTTCAGGCTATGAAGAACCAATTCAACAAGCATAACACCAGACAGCAAATACCTGCGGCGTCAGGCTCAGGTGACTGAGGCGGCCCAGAGGTTGAGGAGGATGGGGAATGGCTCCACACAGCAACGTCTCAAGGAGGAAACTTCAACTGAAATCTTTCTGAAGTGACTACATAACTGTCTCCAAGTTGTTTCAGGGGTTGGGTTTTTCCTTTCCCCCCAATTTAGCACCTTCCTTGTTTGTATCCTCTGAGTGAATTTCCATACAACATGCTTCGTGGGGCCACCAACGGAATTCCTTGTGATAACAGTGGAATTTGCTCTAAATGTGTAGGTGATACTGGAGGAGGGGAGGGTGTCCACTTCCAGGGAGGCCCAGGTGGTGAGCTTTGAGATCCTGGGTCTCCAGTCTCTCTTGCTGAAAAAACGAGAATTCCTAAGGCTGGAGGGTGCTGCAAAGGAACTTAGTACAGAGCTGACTTTGTGATCCAATTTACAGATAAGGGGTATGTGCAGATAAGAAATTATACTCCTGAAGAAAAGTCAATGAGTTTTTGCCTGTGTGAGAGCTAACGAGGCTCACGTGCATTGTCAGTAGATCCGATCATGATTGGCCTTCGCATTGTGGGATTCAGGAGGGATTCTGACCTGGGTCCTGGAGGCAATGGACTTCCATAAACCGACGGCACAACTGGCTGAAACTAACTGCAGAAGCGGCAGGCCTTGCCCACTTGCTGGCAAAAACAATTCCAATGGACAAGAAACCTTTTGTTTTTGTTTATATTTTTTTTTTTTTTGCCTTCTCTTTGCAAACAAGCAAATAAAAAGCTTGAGCTGACAAAGAGACACCTTTTGGCCCCTTTTTTTCATGACCAATGATGTCTTGACTACTGTCAAAGCCAGACTCAACAGGCCTCTCAGTTTCCATGCAGGGGAAAGACCCACCAGGAGGCTTTGGCTTCTGCCTTTCCATTAAAAGCCAACCTCTGAGAGAGACGGTCCTGAACAGAAGGGCGTTAGGCTAAACGAGGTCCGTGCTGCCTCTAGGAATTAGTAAATGGATCCAAAGCAGGCAGAGGAAAGAATTTGTTCGAGGAAAGTCTCCAGAGTCTGACCATAGTACCCTCCTCCACGCCATTTGCACATTCCTTATGACTGGCGCTGAGGGAAACCTTGTCTTAGGTATAATGTATTAGAAGAATCACATGTTGCCTTTTGAAAGAGTCCTTGTTTAAAATAAATAAATAATAAATAAATAAATAAATAAAACATGAAGCTTCCGAACTCCCGGTGGAGCAGATTTTTCCAGTTAGGTGTCAATCTTCTGGGATGTTAGTGTGTCCACCCTTGTGCAGAGGAAAGAGGCCAACTAGGTTATGTTGGTCTAAGTAGATGATACACCCCACACTGCATCAACCTTCAGTGTGGCTCGAAAAGTAGATAGCAACAGCAGCAATCCCCCCAACTTGTGTTTGTAAAAAAGAGAATGTTTAGAGGTGAGAACGCATCCAGTCAACCCACCCGCTATATGCCCAGTAACAGGCTGCAGCCTTGAATAAGACGTGGTCTCATCAATGCAGGCTCACCTTTGCTCTCAGTGACCAAAATGACCGTCTTCCAGATGCATAAGAAAATAGGCATGAATTCCAGAGGCAACTGCATTTCTACAGAGGTTGAGAGAACAGGCCTTCCCTGGTGCTTATCAAGAGCAAGGGAAGTTTTTTTTGACAGTCCATACTCTGCAATTCCACAAAGAGCACCAGCTAGCAGATTTGGAGGAAATTTTTTGTAAATAGTAGCTTACAAGAAAGAAACACAAATGCATTTTTGCAGCTTGGTCTCCCAAATTCTGCTATCCGGGAAAACCAACGTATTAGTGGCTATATCCATCTATTCCTTTTTGTTGTTCATTTGATACATCATAACTGTAGGAAGAATATATCTTTGGTAGTTTTTTATCATGCATGCTCACTATATAAAACTCACCACATCAGGAAACTTCGTAAATGCTTAATGGGTATATAAATCTCTATTGTATAAGTGTACTATGTCAACAAATCCTATGAGATACAACTATTATAAATAGTGCAGTCAGTGCTTATAGAATCGTTCACATCTGATTATCCTGGAGAGTGTCTAGAAATGGAACCACTGGTACAAAGGGCATGAGCGCCTTTGGGACTCGTGTCTGCGCCAGCTCGCAGCCTCCCCTGCCCGCACCGGCCCCAGCGTAGGAAGTGCTGATCCGGCCTCCCTCCTACCTCGATGAAGCGCGCTGTTCCTTATTCGCCAAGGGATGGGAGCTTCCCTCCGTGTGATGCTTAAACCAGACAATCCTTTTTTCAGAAAAAGCGGAGGTGTCCACACACTGAGGTCGGCGCAGGTCATCAGACGCTGCTCACCGACTACCCCCAGTGACTCCTGTGACTGTGGAGGTCTCTTCTGAGCCCTGCCCTTCGTCCCAGGGTTTTGCCCCCCCCCCACCACCACCTCTGATTTATCCCAGTTCCCTTCCCTGCTTCCTAACGCTCTACAAAGCACCTCTGCACCCTGATAAAACCCTCCAGGCAGGGTGCCCCCACAGGAAGCTGCTAAGAGAATTTGGTTCCTAAATGGGACAATCAGAACGAGGTGAGGGGAGCAAGGACTGACCCTAAAACAATGACTTGCCTCTTCCAAAAAACGATTTGCTGGGTCTTGGAATAGTAATGAAAGATAAGGCATTCACAATGAAGAATCACCAATTAAAGGGGAAAATAATTATGCCGGGAGAATGTAACTACACCTCACAAGCAACCACTGTTCAAACACCAAACATTAAGCTATGTCAGTCCCTAGAATCTCAGGGATTCCCAAGAATCATTTGCTCGTAGACACACTGCTGCATTGCTGATTGTGTTAGTTTCCTTTTGCCATTGTAATGAATTACTACCAACGTAGTAACTCAAAACCAAAATTTATTGTCTGAACAGTGCTGCAGGCCAGAAGTCCTGATTTCCTGGAGCTAAAATCAAGGTGCGGGCAGGCCTGATTCCGTCTAATCGTCCCAAGGGAGAAGCCTTTGTTGTCTTCATTTGTCCCCTGGCTGGGGTGGCCGTCCGCATCCCTTGGCTTGTGGCCCCCTCACTCGCCTGCCTCTGTGGCCACAGTGCCTTCTCCTCTCCTGTAGTCTCATCTCCTCTGCCTCCCTTTTAGGGACCATCGTATTTGCAGTTAAGGCCTCCCCAGCAATCTGGGATAATCTCCCCACCTCAAAATCCATCATTTGTCCCATCTGCAAAGTCACTTTTGCCACATAAATCCACCTGCCCCACCAGCGACACACTGAAACCCCACAGCAAAATCACAGGTGGAATAACTTCCCTCATACCGTACATTCTTAAGCAGTTGAGGTGAGGAATTTCCTAATTCCAGAGTACGCATTTCCCCATATATTGCTGTAGAAGTACCAAGATCAACTCCCCCACCCCTACTGGATGGTAAAGGAATAAAAAGAGACCCATGGAGACAGAGAATTAAAGGCAGTGTAGGAGAGATCACCCATTCTGGAAAACAGAAAGTAGGTCAAGAAGTAGCAGGTAACACAGTGGAGCTGAGAGGCTGAAGCTGAGGTTTGAAGCGGGCAAAGCCTGCCAGAGGCACGCGCGCCTGCTGCAGAGCGGACGGCTTTGTAGTGAGGGGCCCCATTCTCCGAACTGCGAGGGACTGTGGGGAAACACGAACCAGCTGTGAGGCTCGGAAAGGCTCACCTGAGCCCACGGAGCAGACCCCACCCCCCACCCCGAAGGCTCCCGAAAGAAGACCAGACAGACTGAAAGGTCACTCCTGGGGTTACACTGGAGGGGTTGTGGCTTCAGGCACACCAGGGGAAAGCCACAGAGTTAATTTAGTAGAGCTGGAAGAAAGCTGAGGAAATCAACCAAAAAAATAAATGAGAAGCAGTTGAGCAAAGAAAATTAGAATATCTACCTGGAGGTCCAATGCCCAGTTAGATATTTCAAGGCAAGCAAAGCAACAGCAATGGTGAGAATATCAAATAATTCCAGCAAACACTGCATAACCTAAGACAATGCATATCCAGACTGAAGAGACCACAGTACCCAGGACAA